GGGTTTATGGCGCTGGGAAGCTGCGAGAGGCAAGGCCGGGAGTGCCAGGCGGTGCTGCTCACGAGGTGGCACTAATGCTCCAGCGCTGAGGCTGGCCAAGAGGGAGGGGAGAAGGAAAGCAGCCTGGGAGCTAGGAGGCAGCTCCACAAGCCACAGCCAGGAAGATGGAAGATGCCGGCAGAGCCTGCAGCCGTGGCAGGTGAGTGCCCGGCCCCTGCCCACTGCAGGTACGTGGGGGCGTGGGGGTGCTCGCGGACCTCGCATTCCCGCAGCTTTGCACTGAGTGACCAGGAAGCCAGTGGGAGCTGGGGCTTTCTGTGTCCTGTGCAGGTCAGGAGGGGGTGACAGGGGACCAGGACACCTGGGTTGTCTGCTGCTGATCCACCCTCCAGCTCCTGGCTCCAGGGCTCAGGGCCAGGATGGGGAAACCGCGGCACGGGGGAGGACAGATGGGCTCTCTTGGGGGCCTCCAGGCACGGCTCTCCCTGGTTAAGGCAGGAGGCGCCGAGGGCCACAGGGTGCCTGGTTCCAGGCAGTGGCGGGGGCACGGGGTTTCTGCCTTGACAAAGCCTGTTGTTGCCATCAGGGATGTAGGTGCTGGGCGCTGGGCACAGTGGAGAGCTGAGCACAGGGGCTGAGCACTGGATATGGTGGAGAGCTGGGCACTGGGTATGGCGGGGAGCTGGACACAGGGCTGGACTCTGGGCACCGCAGAGAGCTGGCGCTCCATTCCCCTCGTCTGCATACAGAAACAAGGCATCGCAGTTTCCAAGGCAATACCTGCCTTCACGCCCGCTGGCTCTCGGGTGCCCACAGCTGTGGTAGCTTGACCCACTGACCACTAGGTGTTATGGTGGTAATTCGCTGGGGCAGTGGCCATCTGTCTGTCCAACTGGCCAGAGGAGACTGTGGCCGCTACAGCCGGGCACCAGAAAGGGAAGGGGTAGGGACTCATGGGCACGGATGCCAGGGCCCAGAAGTGGGGAGACGCAGGCAACACTGAGCTCTGGGCAGCCTCCACCTGCAACTGCCATAGGGCTTGGGACTTGTGCACTCACACCCTTACACATGTGCGCATGCACTTGCACACTCTGTCACACTTGTGCACTCACACATCACACCCAGGCATTCATGAACTATCATGCAATCACACTCTTGTGTGCACCCACACACGATCATGCACTCTCTCACATGCAAGCACCCTTTGCATATGCACTTTTGCATTTACATGTGGATTGGTGCTCTAGCGCACACACACCCCTACAAAAACACCAGCATGGCGACCTGCCTGCTCACATGTATGTACATACAGGCATTCACGCATGTGCATACTTGTGCACACACCTGTACACACACACATACATTCTCACATGGCTTTATACACACACACATGCTTATGCACGTACTTACACACAACTATATACACATGCACACACATACCTTTACACAGTTACATACACACCTCTACCTGTATACATACACACACTTACTTACACACAGACACACCTGCACACACACGTGCACACCCACGCACACCCCACAGTAACCAGCTCAGCCCAGGCTCCAGAGGTGAGCGGTGCCTTTGCTGGGAAACCAGTGAGGGTCAGGCCTGAATTTACTGAGGACAGTCGGCTTCCAGCAGCCCCCACCTCAGCATGATCCGCGGGGGAGGGGCCGGCATTTGGGCCACATCGAAAGTCAGGGCCTGGAGGGGAAGTGGGGGCAGCTGCCTTGGTACACACAGCCTGTGCGAGCCTGCGTGAGCTCCCGGTAATTCATCCGTTTCTCCCCAGCCAGACTGTGCCCCCCTGGGACCAGCCTCCGGCCTTGCCCGCCTGGCCTCGCCATCCAAATGCTAACAGGAGCCTGGCTGCTACATGCGTGTGCATGCATGTGTGTGTGTGTGCATGTGTGTGCACGTCTTGCACCAGCTGCAGCCGCCTGCTCAGAGGTAAGCGGTAACTATGGCAATGCAAGGAGGGTCCCCAGAAGAGATGTGCGGCTACAAAGGGATTTTCCTCGCCTAGATCGCAGGGATCCCCGTGGAAGCAGGTGGGTTCCCAAGCGCTGGGGGGGAAAGGGGGATCTCCAGCTTCAGCCCAGTGTTGGGGTGCAGGGGGCAACAGGATGGGGGGGCTCCCCTTGGAGCCGGCTCTTTGCAAGGGGGTTTCCTGGCTGGGGAGTGCCCCGGTTCTGGCATGGGGACATCCCCTGTGCACGAGCAATGCAGCCGGGGGGCCACTGTGGTGTCAGCTGGGTGGGCTCCATTGTGCATGGCTGCTGAGGGTCTCAGGAGAGCTGGGCTGGCTCTGGGTGTTGTCCCACACCAGCGGGGACTCAGACCCCTTGCCATTCCCAAGGTGATGCGGTGGAGCCAGGCCCATCTGGCTGTTGCAGATGGCAGGAATCAGCCCCAGTCTCCCCCCCCACCCCCACATCCCTGAGGTCCCCACGGAGGTGTTGTAGGTCTGGGGGGCAACCCCTCCCCCTCTCCCTCCCCCCCGCCTCCTCCCCACAGCCCTGGGAAGGCAAAGCCATCTTGCCACTGGTTTGAAGGTGGGGGGGCAACAGGGGACAGAGCCAGCACCCCATCAGGAGTAAGGAGCAGGTGCTTGGTGGATGCCCCTGCAGCCAGACACTCGAATCCCAGCTGGGGCAGGTGGATGGATGGGGAGATCGTGTGATGTGTGTGGGGATGGAGCTGGAGAGAGAGAGAGACAGAGAGAGTGGTGTGAGGCAGATGGATGGACTGATAGACAGAGTGTGTGTGTATGGGGTAGGCAAAGTGGTGTGTATAGGGATGGATGGACAGATAGATGGATAGAGTGAGATGGATGGATAGGTGCATGGAAAGAAGGCAGGCAAGCAGGCAGATAGATAGATAGGTAGAGTGGTATATATGGAGATGAATGGATGGATAGATAGACGTGGTGTGCTTGGGGATAGATAGATAGATGGGTGGATAGGTGGGGTGGGTGGACAGACAGACATGCAGGTAGATGAAGTGGTGTGTATGGCGATAGATAGATGGATGAACAGACAGACAGATGAATGGTTGGACAGCAGGAGAGTGGACAGAGAGACGGGCTCCGCATGCCCGGGGCTCCTAGAGGAGGATCACACCCTGCCCCCTTCCCCTGACCCAGCCCGGCTCCCTCCCTGGCCTCGGTGGCTCTGGCCCAGCACCAAACAATGGGGAGCTTAGCCCTTCCCGCAGCCCCGTCTCAGCCGGCGGCGTGTGAAGCCCGGTGCGGTAACCTAGTTTTTGCCTCACAAGAAGCTTTCTGTCCTGGCCAAATGGCAAGCGCAGGGGGTCATCGTCCCAACCATTGGCTCCTCAAAGGCTGGGTGGGGCTTGCCAGCTAGGTCCATGCCCTGCTCTGATCCCAAAGCACTGGGGCAGGCTGGAGCTCATGGCAAGGCCCCGAGGAGGAGGGGGTAAATAAGGGAGGAATCCCAGGAGGGGTAAGCAAGGGAGGAACCAACTCTGGGCTGTATAAAAAACACAGCTGGGGGCCCTTTTTAGACCTATGTAAGTCCCCTGAGGGTGCCCGCCCTGTTCTGCCCGTGGGCTGGGAGGCCGCCTGGCCCTGGGGTCCATCAACTGGATCCTCCAAAGACTTAAGACTAAAGCCCCAACCTCCTTGGTGCTGCGAGATTTGGCCTTCCAGTCCCCTGCACAAAGCACTAGACCCCCCACCCTCCCCCGAATCCAGAATTGGACCCAGGGGTCCCCCGCTTGAGCGGGTCCAGACATAGATCACAGGTGTCCGGCCCTGAGCCACACTGGAAGCTGGGCTACTCCCCACTTGGCTGTGGGGATCTGGAGACGCCCCCGGAGCTGCCGGGACTCGCCCAGGGAGGCTGGAGTTTCTGGTTCCCCAAAGCACGGGGAGCTACCCTCCCCGCTCCGCCCCAGCCCAGCCCCAGACGCTGCCAGGCTCAGCGCCCCCACGGGGAGGGGAAGGAAGCACAGCTGGGGCCCTGCACAGACTGAGCCTGGGCCCCGTGGATGCACGAACCCATCTCCCATGAGTGCTGGGCCCCGAGCCATGGGGCTGAGCTGTCTGCCAGTGAGGATGACCCCATGCCGGAGCTGATTCTGTGCCCTGGAGAAGTAACACCAGCCCCGGGGGCAGAGGTGATGGATCTGGGGGGTGCTGACATGGGGCAAAAGGGAGGGTGGGAGTTTGCTTGACCTTTCCTTTCCTTTCCTTTCCTTTCCTTTCCCTTGCACTCGTCTGTTTATCTGTGTACTCGTTCCTTCCTTCCCTCCACTGCTGCCCATCTGTCTGTCTGTCCCCATCATTGCCCTTCCTTCTCTTCTCTCTCCCATTCCACCTCTCCCTCCCTCTCAACCTCTGCCCCCCACCCTGGGGCTGGGGCCCTGCTCCCTCTCTCCGCTTCTCCACCTTGGTGGGGCTTTTGAAACCAGGGACCAGCCCCCTGCCACTGGCACCGCTCCCTCTGGGCCACGCTTGGCCCCGTCTCTGCATGCAGCTGTGTCCAGTTCAGCACTGCAAGACTGGATGTGGTTGCAGCTGGGGCAGGCAGGGACTTCTCCTCGACTGTGGGGGGCAAGGCATGAAGTGGGGGACAGGAAGGGGGGATTCCTGTATAGTGGAGGGCTGCTGGCCTAAAACAGGAACACACTCACACATGCACACATGTATGCACACACATGGACCCATGTCCTGGGTACAGCCCCTACCACAAGCCAACCCCACAGCAAGGCTCCTGAGTCCAACTGCAGCCCGGCTGGGGGAGGAGAGGCACCGGGGGTCTCCATATGGGGCAGACTTCTAGGCCCAGGGGACAGATAGGCTGGCTTGGCTGTGAAAGAGGCGGGGGGTAAGATGCCTTCACCTGTCCCCCTCCAAAACAGCCCTGCTGGCCAGGCCGAGAGACTGGAGTGCCCAGTAGGATCCCAGGGGATGCCTTGGCTAAGCAAATACAGGGCTGGGCGGGAGAGGGGGATCAGTCTTTCTGCTCTGGGTTTGTACAGCACCTGGCACGGGGCCATTTCGGGTGCTCTCAGGATGTCCTGCCATGCTCTGGGCCTCAGTGCTGTCCCCGCCCTGCCCGGGGCTCCGTGCCCAGCCCCATCTGTGACTCTCCCACATCCTCAGGACCCAAAATCTCAGGACCCTATGGTCCCCTCGAAGCTTCCTCCCAGGGTCCCTGCCCCAGGATGAGAGTGTGACAAACCAGAAACCAGTCACCTGTGGGAGCATGGGAGCCCATCCATGCATCATCCGGAGGGTCAGGACTCCTGGGGTCCATCTGTGATGTTGGGGCAGTGGGAGCCACACAGGACTCCTGGGTCCTATTTCTGCCTCTGCAAGGACAGGTGGACTAGAGGAGGGAGAGCGCCCGGGGGAGGTGAAGACACCATGTTCACCCCATCCTGGGCAAAGGGAGTTATTCCACCCACCAGCAGCAGTAGAGGGCTGTTACCCACCTGCCTCCGCAGCAGGGGCCTGGCTAGGGGCAGGGAAGGTGTCCCCCAGTCCTGGTGAGGTGGGCTCCAGGTCTCCCCCCTGGAGGGTGTGGGACGGAGTGGGAGGGCAGGAATCATGGGTTTCTGTTGCAGGTGGGTGCCGGTGTAACCCCATTCCCTCTCCCGGCAGCGCCCACACCCCCGCCGCCATGCCCGCCCGCGCCCTCTGCCTGCTGTGGGGCCTGGCAATCTCCACTGTGGCCCTCAGCCCTGATCCAGTGCCTCGTGTCGCCTTCCAGTGGGGTGAGTACAGTGGGGAGGGGGATGCTGCTGGGACTGGAAACAGCCTGGGCAGCCCCCAGTTTGGGGCAGGAATATTAGCCCAAGCAGCTGAATGTCAATGGCGCAGCTGCTCCTTTCACGTCCCTGTTTGGTTGGTTGGCATGCATATGCAATCTATAAATGAGGCTGAAGTTGGTTCCTTATTCCCAGTTCCTTATTCCTGGTTCCTGGTTCCTTTTTCAAAGCTAATCTAGACCCAATAAAAACTTGTTATTAATGAATTCCACATCCTAAAGAAAGAGAATTTCATTAGCTATGCATATGTACTAAGTAATATGTAAAAAAATATCCCCCTTCCAGTACAGAGCCCTAAATGAAGGTCAGATTAGAATGGGATTATGGGGCAAAGTACTTCTTGGGCCACCCCACAAATTTCGTGGCAATGCCACTGGGGAACTGTCCCAAAGAACCCTGACCACAGTCCTGCCTGGCCCAAAGAAGCATGGTTTGGCTGTGCCAGGCTGCCAACTAACAGCCCCCATGCCCACTATGCTAAGTATAATGGTTTGAATAAGGAACTAGCTTTCAGGCTGGGTTTATGGCTAGAAATTCTGCTTGGGCCGCCCATCAGATTACCTCTGTGCCACTGGGGGACTGTCCTGGACATCTGTGACCAGACTTGCCTGGCCCAAAAGGCAGTTTGGCCATGCCCGGCTGCTATCTGACAGCAGTATAATGGCTCGAATAAGGAACTGTTTTATGGGCTGGGATTAGAGTTGGAAGTCCTTGTTGGGCCACCCCACTCTATGGCTCTGTGGCACTGGGTGATTCTCCCAGGCATCCCCCACCAGAGTACTGTCCGGCCCAAAGCGCAATTTGGCTCTGCCGCACTGTCAACTCAGAGCTCACCCCCCACCCCAGCGACTGTACTAAGGACAATGGCTTGAATAGGGAACTCTTTTTGGGCTGGGATTAGAAATGGAAATCCTTCTTGGCCACCCCATGCCATGCCCCTCTGGCACTGGGGGACTCCCTCAGACATCCCTGACCAGTCTTGCCCGGCCCAGAGCATGGTTTCTTCATGCCATGCTGCTAACTGCAGCCCCCATATCCATTAACATAATAAAAGGCTTCGTCTGGCTGTCTGTCTGAAGGCAGACGTGGGCCAAGCAGACTCCCCTCCTTCCCCCCACAGCCCCTTCAGGTCTGCCTGCCTGCATCTGCCTGCCTCCCTTCTCTTCCCCTCCCCTCCCCTCCCCTCCCCTCCCTCCCTGTTCCAGGGTGGCCCAAGAAGGATTTGTGGGTATAATCCCAGCCCAAAATCCAGTTCTTTATTCGGATCCCTATACTTAGTATGGTGGCTGGGGTGCGGTCTGTTGGCAGCCTGGTACAGCCAAACAGTGTTTTGGGCCGGGCAGGTGTCTGGGTCAGAGGTGTCCACAAGAGTCCCCCGGTGCCAGAGAGACATGGTCTGGGGTGGCCCAAGAAGGATTTCTGGGTATAATCCCAGCCCAAAATGCAGTTCCTTATTCAGGTCGGATCCCTATACTTAGTATGGTGGCTGGGGTGCGGTCTGTTGGCAGCCTGGTACAGCCAAACAGTGTTTTGGGCCGGGCAGGTGTCTGGGTCAGAGGTGTCCACAAGAGTCCCCCGGTGCCAGAGAGACATGGTCTGGGGTGGCCCAAGAAGGATTTCTGGGTATAATCCCAGCCCAAAATGCAGTTCCTTATTCAGGTCCATTAATTTAGCACAGTGGCTGGGGTGCTGTCTTTTTGCTCCCTGGCATGGCCAAACCGCGTTTTGGGCCGGGCAAGTCTCTGGTCAGAGATGTGCAGGAGTGTCCCCTGGTGGCACAGAGATGTGGTATGGGGGGGCCCAAGAAGGATTTCTGGTCGTAATACCAGCCCCAAATCCAGTTCCTTATTCAGGTCCAGATATTTAGCAGCGTCTGGGGGGTGGTGTCAGTTCGCAGTCTGGCACGGCCAAACCACGCTTTGGGCCGGGCAAGTCTCTGGTCAGAGATGTTCAGGACAGTCCCCCGGTGACACAGAGATGCTTCCTGGGGTGGCCCAAGAAGGATTTCTGGGTATTATCCCAGTCCAAAATTCAGTTCCTTATTTGGGTCCATTCATTTAGCATAGTGTCTGGGGGGTGGTGTCAGTTGGCGACCTGGCGCAGCTAAACCGTGCTTTGGGCTGGGCAAGTCTCTGGTCAGAGATGTCCTGGAGTGTCCCCCGGTGCCACAGAGGTGCGGTCTGGGGTGGTCCAGGAAGCATTTCTGGGTATAATCCCTGCCCAAAATCTAATTCCTTATTCAGGTCCATTAATCTAGCACTACGGCCAGAGTGCTGTTAGTTGGCACCCTGGCACAGCCAAACTACATTTTGGGCCAGGCAAATCTCTGGTCAGAGATGTCCAGGAGAGTCCCCCAGTGGCACAGAGACATGGTCTGAGGTGGCCCAAGAAGGATTTCTTGGTATAATCCAAGTCCAAATTCCAGTTTCTTATTCAGTTCCATGTATTTAGCACAGCGGCTGGGGGGCTGTCTGTTGTCAGCCTGGCACGGCCAAACTGCAGTATGGGCCGGGCAAGGCTGGTCACAGATGTCCAGGACAGTCCCCCAGTGGCACAGAGGTATTCTGATGGGAGGCCCAAGCAGAATTTCTAGCTGTAATCCCAGCCCGAAAGCCAGTTCCTTATTCAAGCCATTATACTTAGTACAGTGGGCATGGGGGCTGTTAGCTGGCAGCCTGGCACAGCCAAACCGTGCTTTGGGCCGGGCGGGACTGTAGTCAGGGTTCTTTGGGACAGACCCCCAGGGGCATCACCACGAAATTTGGGGTGGCCCAAGTATTTTGCCCTATAATCCCACCCTAATCTGACCTTCATTTAGGGCTCTGTACTTTATATGGAATATTATTTTCTATATTTAGTACATATGCATAGCTAATGAAATTCTTTCTTTAGGATGTGGAATTCGTTATTAACAAGTTTATATTGGGTCTAGATTAGCTTTGAAAAAGGAACCGGGAATAAGGAGCCAATTTCAGCCTCATATCAACAATCAAAATGTTCATAGAAACTAAGATCCAGACATACCAGGGGAGGGCAAAATACAGCCTTTACTCAGGTAAGGGGGGAGCGGGGGCCGGGGAGGAGCC